AGTATTTTGTGACTCCAAACTTTCTCCGTGTTTCACGCACGCGTGTGTGCGCGCGCATGTGCATATGCGGGCGTACGTTTATGCGTGTGTATTACCGTGTTTGTGCTAGTGTGTAAATTTGTGTTAGATGTTTAATTTCTCAGATGCTCAAATTGATGTCTTCCGACTTCCTGGCATTGTCCCAACCGCACATAAAAGCTATTTATTAAGCATTACATTTTGCAATTGATCGCGTATGATGAGAGTTACCTCATCATAAATGCGGGTTTTAAGATCTTGAAGGTCTCGCGCGCGCGCATGCACACACGCACACACACATACGCGCACATACACACATAAACACACACGCGCGCGCACAAATACACGTGCGTGAAACGGAGAGATAAATATATATATTTCTATTTATATTTATTCCGCAACAAACATTTAGTAAGGCTTCTATAACCGTTTAAATTTCGCGTTCTTAATTTTGTATCCAATTAGTTATATGTAATTGTTTAGTGAGTGTATTTAATAAAAATTTGTATATATTATCTTATATATTTTTAATTATACGAAAAATATATTTTGAAACAAAATTACAGGGAGTTTCAACGAGTCTACGGTTTTAAATTGCTATAATTTTTTGAATATCTGATCAGATTGTCACCAAACTTTGCAGAAATTTATTTAAAGTTTCAAGGTCATTTAAGGTCATTTTGTTTTATTCTTATTAACGGGAAGAATCTCAAAAAATTTTAATTATTTTGATTACAATATTACAATATTTAAATTGTTTTGTATGTAACAATTGAAATATAAACAAAATAGAAAACCATTAGTGCATTAATATTTGCAACAAAACGCAACTACCAATTGTTTTCTTTTTCTATAGAATTCTTGGAAATAATTAACCTTTTAGTGCTAGAATGAATTTCCCAAACTTACTCAAAAGTTGTAAACTGATATCTTTACTAAGTATTAGTTTAGCGCGAAAGCCATGAATAAATACTTTAGGGCCTTAGCAATGGTAGCAGTCGTTGACAGCGTTATTCGTTTAATAGCTTTGCGAAGTTTGAATTTTGAAGTGTGAAAAAGGTCTGAGAGACCCAAATCTGGACAAGACGTTAGCAGTTCGAAAAGTAAGTAAATTTTTTCAGTTTGAGTATTTTTACTATATTAAATGTTTGTTGTTTTTTTTATAATTTTATCAAAATATATATATATATTTAGATCAATCAAAGGACGAATAAGAACCGGATGTTAGTGTATGTTTTTTGAAATAACTATTTATTGTTGCAAACGTTTTGATCCTTAGTTGGGATCTTCATCAGTGCGCAACTGATAATACAAATTGAGTATTAAATAATGATGGAAAATGTATATTTATAGCGATTTATTAGGTCATGGCGCGCAGAAACGTTTAAAACGTTTCTTAGAAACTACTTAAAATGTTTTAAATCTGTTTTTTTATCGACGCAAAATTGTTCAATCATTTTATTACAAAAAAGAATATGTTAAAATACTGTAAAATACTGTAGTAAACATGGTCTGACCCCTAGGCCAGAAAATGTTTTTTTGTGTAGCTGTGTAATTAAACGCAACTTAAAGAAGATCGATCTGGGAAACTCCCTATTTTGACTTCAGATTTGTAAGAAAACATGTTTCCCATTTCGAGTTTAGAACATTTTTTTGTGGGCCTGTGTTATATATTACCGGATGCTTTGGATCCAATAATAATATATTGTAATAACGTACAAAAGGTTACTTAGTGCTACTTTTTGATATCACTTCTTTTGTTAAACAGATTTTGTAGAGAAATTTTTTCTAGTATATAGTAAAATACTTCATCGTATTATCTTCGAATAATATAATAACGTACAAACATTTACTTGATGTTACTTTTTGATATCACTTCTTTCTCTCTCTCTCTCTCTCTCTCTCTCTCTCTCTCTCTCTCTCTCTCTCTCTC